GGTTCTAGATTACAAAAATAAACATATTTGCGTAAGTCTAATGGAAAAGACCACAGACATTATTTTTCCAGTACGACACAAAGCAAGAATACGATTCTCAGGAAGTTCTTACCATAAACGTTAAGCAATCATTTTAATCTCAAAAGAGAGAACTAAATTTTTGGCTTCAGAAGACTGCTGGATCATCTCCATGAAGTGCTATAATTCGGTAAACACCCTATTGTGTATAATAATAGTAACACACACAATTACCCATTGGCATGTTAGTAGCTTGTTACAACACTGTTCCTTCAATCAGGAACTCAGATCAGCAGTTACTGTTACATACTACTTTATATGAACAAACATACCCTTGTACAGCAGACTGTACAAATACCAGCATTACAGGCTGCTGGTCTATTTAATGTCTTGAATTTCAAGAACAACAAAGTTAACACCATTCTTTGACAGGCATATCACTTTTACCCCCTCATATACAGAACTAGAATCAGAAACTCAATCACTGAGACAAGCACTCTAAGTACTGTTAGTGTGCAGTTTGTTACTGCCCTGGACACTTTAATCAAAACATCCTTGCTTTTGTTACTTTGCCTGAAAAATTTAACATTAGAATAATGAAGTCTTTTGTATTTAGCCATTAGGTTTGAATGGATTTGTTAATGTTTTGCTATGAACACTTGAAGCATCAGCAAACTGTTTTAAAGAGAAACAAAAATACATGTTAACTGATTCTATATGACTAGCATTCATAACAACATAGAAATAAAAAAGAAATGTTTACATACCTTTAGATAGCAATTTTCTGAATTTCTGAGTTGCTGTGAGCTGCTGATCAGGATCATCTGAGAAAATCATCTGCACCATATCTACTGTAATAACTTCTTCCTAGAAATGAAAGGAGGACTTCTTAGGTCTAGCACTAAGCACATAAACAGCTAATATTCTAAACATATTCTAGAGTAATTACCTCTGGAATAGGTACAGTAGAACTGACATCAGGATCCTGAATTGGACTTTCTACCATAGATTCTTCATTTCCCGGGAGAGAAACATTTCGGCGTTTAAACAACTGAACAAAGAAAAAAATGTTGGGAATATATCAAAACTTAGCATAGAAAGGGTACTGATGACATACTTGAGCAAATGTTTTCACCAATATTAGCCGAAGCGTTTCAACTACTCACCTTCCCAATCATCCATGCAAACGGTTGAGTACAGTAAAGTTTGAAGAACAGAAAGGAGAAAAACACTACTACACATAAACAGCACTGTAAGCCTCCAGGGAAACCCTCAAGTTCTTTTTTAATTAGAAAAGATCTATAAATGTCTCAACTGTAGGAAAAAGAATCATAGAACATCCCAAGTTGGAAAGGACCCACAAGGATCATAGAGCCCAACTCCTGGTAGACACAGGTCTTCCCAAAAATTCAGACCATATAACTAAGAGCATAGTCCAAATGCTTCTTTAATTCCGGCAAGCAAGATGCAGGTCTTCCATTGTATTATCCCTTATAATTCAGCATTTGTATTTAAGCAGAAAATAGTATTCCACAAGCTACTTAGTTCGTAGGCTGAAATCATCAACACAGAGCCACAGTCTATGTTTCAGCACACCTCATTCTGTTAAAGGGGGGAAAGTCTAAACTTTATGTACCTATGTACCTACATCTAGCACACAGTTTTACAAAAAATAAAACACTTCTAATATAGTTGGAGGAAAACATGGTATAATTTCAAGGTGAACTTTCGAATTATGTAACCTTAAATGTTGTGTGTGTCCAAAAATCACTTTGGCTTCATGAACTGACTATGCTTAAAATACATACCTGCACTTTAGTGTTTAACAGGCTATACTTAATGAGTGCCTCATCATTTTCTGGCACGCAAACATAGCATTCATTACCCTGTTTTCTTCCAGAAACCAAACCTATTTATTATTTGGTTTAGTCTTGAATCCACTACTACACTTATAGTCTGTAATAATCAACAATTCTAAGACTATGATGTTGGTATCCTTAAAAAATAAACATGAGAATCCATGGAGTGTCTCAGATTTCACCTCTAAGCATAATGGTGAAACCTCCTACTAAGTTCTGAAGAACATTTTGTCCTGAAAGTTGTCTATAGATATCTACATTTCGGCTGTCACATATGCCCAAAATTGAGTAAGCAGCTCCATGTTTACATCTAGCCATACAAACAGGAACCTAAAACAAAGCATTAACTCCCTCATTCAACACATTTCTGGATTGGGCACAAACCTAGGCACTAAACAACTGCAGAATCCTGGACACAAACAAGTTTTAATTACATTTAAATCCACAAATGGAAGAAGAAACAATATTCCTCTTTTTAGAGGACCAGCTGGTCTTTCTAACATTCAGCAATGACGAGCCAGATCCTGCTTGAAACATATAAACTGTTTTTTGTTTAGGAACATGGCCTATCTACAATTTATAACTTTTACTGGAGCAAAACAATCTCTTTTCCCTGCATAAACTTGTTCCCGACAGTGCAAAAACTGCTGACAACACTAGTCTAACAATTAAGATTGAGGTATTCTCACTGTTACAAAAACCAGCATGGGAAACAACCCCTGTAGTTATATATAAAATTTAACTATGTAGTACTTATTACAAAATACACAAAACTTTCACCAGAAGGTGCAATTCAGATGAATTCATTCACAGGTAAATACTCCGGTAGGATTCTACTTCCTTTTCTTACCTCTCTGACCCAACTAATACAAATTCTTTTTCCAAGCAGTAGCACCACTCTCCCAGGAGAAAAGTAAGCATTCCCGCCTCAGAGGAGACTGTAGATCAGTGCCTGGGACACTCTCTAGGTGTTGGGAGACACAAGTCTGCCACTTTAGACCAAGCAGAAAAACAAACTGTATTCCTTACTTTCCAGACAACAAACTACTAAACATTTTGGAAAAGGAACTACCACCAACCATAACACTATACAATGCTCCATGCACTCGGATCACTAACAATTCAGTAAGGACAGCTGCAAATATTAGAAAAAAGAGTCTAGAGACCGCTATTTGTTGGCTACTTTACTAGGCTACTGATAACAGCTCTTGAGCAACCTGAAGTACAGCTTCAAAGATGAAAGCTCCCCTCACCCCTAGCACTACATCTTTGGCCCGAACTCTAGAACGGAATCCAGCTTTTCTGATCCTTATTAGATACAAGGGTATCTTTCAGCCCAGTCCTACACATCTAAACCTAGATTAGAGATTAAATTTAAGCCACAGGTATCTCCTCGTGTGCCCTTGTGATTTAAAAGGGCCTCTGCTCACTGTTTTTGCTCTTTGATCCAACTGAGAGGTACCTGGTGCTCCCCAAGATTGCACAGAAAACCTCATGCTTTGGATTCTGCTTCACACGAAGAATCTAGTCAAGGCCTTTCACATATGTGAATTTAACTTCACAAGCACTTAACAGTCAACAGTTCATGGAGGTGCTTACCTGTTCTTCCCTTTTCTGTTTCCGAAGCTGGATTCCTTCCTCTTCTCTTCGTCTGCGCATTTCTTGAGGATTAAGTGCATTATTCTTGTAGCTTTTCATTCTGAAGTTATCCTTCCCCGGGCTTGACATGTTGTCTATTAAAGAGAAAGAATTACTTCAAGAGGACAACAAGAAAGCAAACCTTCCATCTCCTGTGCTACAAAAGTATCTAACAACTCTTATATGTACACCTGTAGCTGTTGGCGATATCCAGTTCATCAACAAAAATTTCCAAGAGAGAATTCAGAGAAAAATCTTTGCCTAGACAGTCATTTCTAAACTGCAGATTAAATTGCAGGTCATCTCAGCGATCAGACACTTCGTTAAAGGGCATAACCTAGTGCCAAATGAAGTTGCTGATCTTATGAGCAAACTGTAAATTTTTACACAGGAAAAGCAAAAACACTATTTTGCTGAATTTTGACATAGATTTGAAGGAACTGTCAGCAAGTACAAGAGCTTGTTTTCCCCTCTCAGAAAGTAGACATCAAGTGTATTCAAAAATAAGGACAAATCCTAGAAGAAAACCTGCAGTAATTACTGCTTCATTTAACATCCCACTGCACTGCTTCCTTTTTTTTTTTTTTAATGCCAATTGCACAAACACAAAGCAGGATCTAAAGGTTATGCTAAGTCTCCTTTTAATCTGTATACAGAAAAAACTCTGCAGAAAAAAAGGGGATCAGTAGCACCCAGAAAGGCATACCCTTTTCAATTTTAAGTTAAAAAAAAAAAAGAATTGACTCATTTTAATTAACATCTCTTTTGATGTGTAAAGAGGATGGGAATCTGCCCATCATTTCAGACGCATCAGTTGTGGAAAAATAAAAGTGATACAACGTGATCTGTCACCGAAATGATCAAACTGACTGAAAAAAAAGGTTGTTAATAACCCAGTGCTAATTTTCAAAGCTAGAACCGTAGCCTTCATCTGAGGAATAATTAACTGTCAAAAACATGGTTCAAGACTCCAAGCAAACTCAGTCGTATGAAATTCTTGATGAAATTCTTTCACAACAAGACCACACGCAGAAGAACACCTTAACTACGCTTCTAGAGCTGTGCCACACGTCAACTTCCACAATGAGGTTTGTCTTTTTATTTGCAATAGCAGCAGCACCGAGGGCTGCTTAGTAACAAACACAGGCTGGAAACAGGCCCTCAGCCCCCACCCCCCCCCACCTGTCGCGCACCACCCCGTTACCGGCCCGACCCCCCCGGCCGAGCCCAGCTCCCTCAGCCCGCTGCCCTCTCCCCTCCCCTCACAGCAGCCTCCGACCCCTGAACCGGCAGGATGCCCGCGCCGTGCCGGGGGCGCACAGCGGCTACCGCAGCCCCCCACCGCCGTGAGGCGGTGCCCGGGGACTCACCCATCGAGGCGCAGCCGCTCGGCGCCCGCCGCCTCCACGGGAGAAACGGCGCCCGGCTCCCGGCGTAAGATGGCGGCCGCCGCCCCGCCCGGGGGCGGGCCCCGCCGCTCCCAGCAGCCTCGGCGGGAGGAGGAGGAGGAGGAGAAGGAGGCGGCGGCGGGCTCGGCTGCCCCGCTGGGGAATGGCGGCGGCGGTCCCTGTGAGGCGCTGAGGCGGCGGCTGCCATGTTGGTGTGCGACGGCTGCGGGCGGGCGCTGCCCTGCGAGGCGGCGCGGCGGCATCCCCGCTGCTCGCCCTGCCAGCGGCTCTGGCGCCACTCGGCAGCGGCCCGGCCGGAGGCGGCGGGGAGGGAGCCGGGAGCGCACGGGTGGAGGCTGCTGGGTGCCCCCGCGGCGGGTGAGCGGCGGAGGGGATGGGGGGGACCCGCTGAGGGATGGGGGCGGTGGTCGTGAGGGTTGGGCATCGCCCCCGAAGCCGGCTGGGTGCTGGGGTGCCTGCAGTGCCTGCCGCGCTGGTCGGCATAATGCAGGCTTTGAATAAGTTAGTTAAGCACATACGAATTTCTCTTTTCAAAATATCTGTATTAAGGGTGGTTATTTGTTTTTTTAAACGTACGTAATGCATTCATGTCGGTTCCTGAAACACTTGGAGTGTTACACAGAATGTTGCAGGTGAGCTCAGGTTATTAAAACATCAAATTCCCTCCCAGCCAGTCATGAGCTTTTAGCTTGGGCGAATGTTCTCCAGAACAAGTTAACATAAAGCACGTTACATCCTGCTGTTTTGTGAATTTAAGAAAGTGGAAGTGACTCAAAAAGAGAGCACTGAAGATGGGGTTGGCTTTGTCTCGGTGCTGACCAGTGACAGACAGGATGGCAGGCTGTGAGTGAAATACAGGAAACACCACTTAAACTCAGGAACACTTCTTACTGTGAGAGTGGCCAGTCACTGGAACAAGTTGTCCAACAATGTTGTGATGTTTCTGTTGTTGAAGTTACTTGAAAAGTGACTGGAAAAGGCTCTGAGTACCTGAACCTGTCTGGCTTGACCCTGATCTGAGGGGCTAAATGATCTCCAGAAGTTCTTTTGAGCCTTAACTGTTCTATGGTACTCTTCAATAATAATACAAAAACTGCAGGAGGAAAACCCAGGCAGAGTAACGAGGAATTACAGCTTTATTTTACTTTACTTAACCATTATCACGCAAACGTTAAATTTTTGTAAGCAAGTATTCTTCCATCAACAGCACAGATCTTTGTATTAAAGATCTGACAATTCAGACTAGGCATTTCTTAATAACAATATTATAAGGACTGTGGTAAGTTAAATGGGATAAAACTTGATTAATAGAAGGAAAAGGTTTTCAGGCTTGTCAGGTATTTATGAGTTGTAAAATGGTTAACAATAATAGCTGTTTAGCATGTGCTGCCTTTCTGTGAGGAATTTCAATGGCAACATAAAATTTCTTAATGTATTTTTATTTTAGACTGTATATATCAGTCGGGGGATGATTCTCTCTCAAAAAGAAAACCACACAAAACCAGGAATTGCATTAAGCAAGAAACTGCATTTCTTTTTTAGACACGGGAAATGGTGAACAGCTATACGAATGTCCCATATGCAGTCTTACCTGTACAAACCTTCAGTTTCTTGAAGAACATGTGGATTTACACCTAGAGGAACATAGCTTTTCAGAAGGTATGTGAAAGGATACAAGCGTGATAATCTTTGAAAGCATTTGCAGTATTTGCATGTTGCAGTATAGAATTTCATACAAAATGTAGAGTAAGCGTTTCTATAAAAAGAGAATTGAATACACCCACAATGAAATTTATACTAAGTATTATTGCTTGCCCAAGTACTCTACATATGCAGAAATATGTCTATCCATGCTTGTTAAATAAGTTCACTATGTGTTAAACAAAACTGAAACTTAGAGCGGAAAATATGTAAAAGATAGCAGTATTACATATATTTTCCTAGCTCTGTTGGAGGATTATGTACATATTTCCCAGAGAAGTTGTGTCTGTCCCATCCTTGGAAAGTGTTCAAGGCTTGATTGGGTGGGGTTTTGAGCAACCTGGTCTGGTGGGAGGCATCCCTGCCCATGGCAGGGAGTTGGAATTAGATGGTCTAAAGGTCCCTTCCAACCTAAACCATTCAGTGATCCTATGGTACAGGGTTTAGACTGGTAAATATCCATGTAAAGAGTTTAAAATCTATACCTTTTGATAACGTCTTTTTATTTTTTACTCAATTCTTTACTCCAAATGTTCATGCTTGTTCAACAGTCATAGTGATAAGGTAAAGGAATCAAAATAAGTTTGCCTTATAGTAATGGCTAATAGTAATCTAGAAATTCCTTACCCAGTCCTCTGAACCTGTTTCTTTTGTCACTGCATTACGAGGTTGCTAACAGCAATCCTAGAAGCTAATAGGTCTGTGATGTTCAGGAAACTAGGATTTCTTGCTAATAATTAAGTGAAACATAGTAAACAAAAGTTTTACTAATAGTAGAGGTGTTACTTGAACTATTTGTCAAGCAACAGCACCGTGACTCTGCATACATTTTGTGGAAGTCAGGAGTCTGAGTCTTAGTAGACTGAATGTTGTCAGTCCTGTTTAGTATTCCTTGCTAATAGCTCAATACAGTGTGGGATCCCTCTCTGAAAAGTAGTGCCTAGTTGGCCTTGTTTATGTCTGCTTAGAAAAGAATCTTTAAATAAATGATCCATCAAAGCATTATTAACCTCCTGATCAAGTCCTCTGTTCTTGAATCGTTACTCTTGAATAGGTGGAAACATGAGAGATCTAGAACTGGCTCAACAGCTCCAACATGAAGAAGATAAACAGCAGAGGCTCGAAGAAGAAAAGCGGGAGAAGGAAGAATTTAAAAAGCTACAGGTACCGTAATGTTTCAAAATGGCAAAATGTTGAAGAGATGTGCCATTAGAAGCTGATCATGTTGAATTTGTTATGTTTTGTTTCCTGGATTACATGAAAATAAGAATGCACAGGTGTGACCTAGTAATGCCAGTCAGGCTGACTGTGCTGAAGTGTTGGTGCAGGAGTGGCCTGCAGGCAAATTCTCAGCAACCCTGATCTTGGCACTGGTGTGGGGCATGCCTGCCTCAAGCTACTTGACTTTACTGCTACCCTGGGCCAGGTGCTACCTGTGTGTGTTGCACTGCTCTCACCAGGCACCCTGCCACCCCATACTGCATCCCACCCAGCTCTAGTGCTCTGCCTTTTGGCACAGCCTGGAGTATATTACCTGGCAGAGTACCTGAGGTCTTGAGCATCCTGGCTGTCCTCTTTCTGGACACCATCATCTGCTTTAGTGAGTGCCCCACCACTAGATTCCCTCTGTCTCCTACCTGACAGCACTGATAGCATCGGTTTCTGCACTTGCTACCTTCTGGTAATTGACTGCCTCTGCCAATGGCTGTCAGCTCAAGGGGGAGCAGGGAGATGTGTCTGCTCTTCCAGGTATAGCTGTCCTAACTCTGCATTTCTAGTCAGGAGTGAAGCTTGGCTTTCAGCTCTAAGAGGTTATAAATCTGAAGATCTTATGTCTCAGTGTTCACTGTTTTTCGTTGTTACTGATGCAACTGGTGCATGCAGCCTCTTGCATCAGTTAAACATGAATTTTAAAAATGTGCTTTTAGTCATGAACGTTCTATCCCTAACAGAGGCAGTATGGCTTGGATAGTTCTGGAGGCTACAAGCAACAATTCCTAAAGAACATGGAAAGGGAAGTTGATAGAGGAAGGATGCACCCTTTTGAATATCACAAGAGAAAAGCTGACATGATGGAAAGTTTGGCTGTCGGTATAGATGATGGGAAAACAAAAACCTCAGGTACAAATGCATTTCAGCAACTAAGCATGTAGCTTAGTCAATGCGTTTGATGACCAAAGCAGTTTTTAACAAAGTATTTCAATACTTAGGATTAGAATTAGGATGCAAATAATATTAATCTGTGACAACTTAGTTTAATAATTTAATTTAAGTTTGACATATTCTTAATCCTTTATCGAACCTGAAGACTTGTGGAACCTTGGAAGCAAGTTAAGAGCCCAAATGCAATATGTATCAGAAGTTGAAAATCTCTTACTGAATGAGGGTTGTCTTTGGGAATATGCTTGTTTGCTACTTAGTACCTTTTGCTTCCTAACCTAATTTAGCTGTTAAAATTCATAGCCACTTTTTATATTGTGTTTCAGTTAGTTGTAATCTGTTTCCGGAAAAGTGATGTTTTTTTACAGATAAACTTTATATTTGTTCTTCTAGGAGTAATTGAAGCATTGTGCAAGTACTATCAGAATGAAAACAAAGATGTGAGACGTGTTTGGCTTTCAGCAGGAGTAGATCACTTCCACTCATCTTTGGGTGACAAAGGCTGGGGTTGTGGTTACAGGAATTTCCAAATGCTCCTTTCCTCACTGCTGCAAAACAGCTTGTATAATGACTGCTTGAGAGGTATTAATCAGAATCCTGACTACTTGTTTTGCACGTCTTCAGTGACAACCTATTGATCTGTGTTTTACTTTTTCATTTATACAAGGCTTACTAGTGGCATACCCATTGGGATACCCATTTTTATACCATTTAATGCGTATCCCATTAAATGTTTCCTGTAACACTAAACCATACCATGAAAAGAATCAAAGGCATGACTATTGGCAAGGCATTATGTGGCCGAAGCTTAACCTTTTGGTTTTTTGGGGGGGTTATCTTTGTAACGTCAATTAGCTCTTACAAAAGAGGCTGGATGGGTTTGATGGACTATTTCAGTAACTGTTGCTACAGTTCAAAAGCTTTTCTGTTTCAGATACTGCACTAATTCCTAGTATACCGAAGATTCAGTCCATGATTGAAGATGCCTGGAAAGAAGGCTTTGATCCTCATGGGGCATCTCACTTCAACAACAGATTACGTGGTTCCAAGGCATGGATAGGAGCATGTGAAATTTATTCACTGTTAACCAGTCTCAGGATAAAGTAAGTATTACTTTTTCTGATGTTGTTTTTAAGTGATAATTAAGCATATATCTTTTAAGGGTCAGAATTAAGGTAAGAATTAAGCTATTAAGCAGAAGCCATCGTAGTGGTTTTATATTTAAACTGCCTATAAGTGAATAAGATTTAGTGCAGTGTGAAAAGTTGTGTAAATACTTACACAGATACATAAATTGAATAACTGTTTTGGTCATTGAGACTTGGTGAGGAATTGTGCCACATAAGCTTTTAATCAATATTTGATTTTATGCCTAATTTCGCTCCAGGTTTAGTCTCAAGAAGAATCTGAATTTCAGCTAGTCACTTCACGTATTTAGAATTCTTAATTTGGCTCTGTGCTGTAATTCTACAAAAATCAAATGTTATTAATTTTGGCAGACTTCATAAGCTTATTAGGCTTATTAGAGTCGAATAATTCTTTGCCACTGAGTAAATACTGTGGTCTTGAACAGTGCATACTGCATTGCTTTGTACTTATATATTTTCTATGCCTGTATTTAATTAAAAAAAAAAAAGTGACAATTACCACTTGATGCCTGCAATTACTGTTGTTTACAAAACATTTTTGGTGTAGGAGGAAGGGACTAAAGTGAAATTTAAAACAAAAACAACAACAAAAAAACCAACCTGCTTCAAATTTATCTGTTGCTTTTATTTTAAATGTTTTATAGGTGTCAAATTATTGACTTTCACAAACCGACTGGTCCAGCGGGTACGCACCCTCGTTTGTTTGAGTGGATTTTGCGTTACTATTCTACAGATAATGAAGGTGCTACAAAGGTAGTGTGTACTTCCAGACCGCCTATCTACTTGCAGCATCAAGGTCAGCATCACAGTATACTGGTTTCTTACTATCCTCTATCTTCACCTATATGTGCTGCAATTCAGAGCAGCATCATATGTTCCATCTTCATTTAATTGAAGGCCTAGCTTTATTTTCTGTTAAACTTCTAGGAAGTAAATGTAACGTTAAAAAGCTTGTATTTTTACTGATGGAAAAGCTGTGTGTGAGCAGGATCTCAGCATGTTGACGTCTGCTCTACACTTAAAATTACCTTATTAAATTTCAAGTATTATGCTCCTTGATTTGAAAATAAATAGTATGCTACAAACAAGTAAATTGGATTTTATGTGTGTCTAAAATACTGAAAATCTGTTTTGAAATTAGGTCACAGTCGTACTGTTGTTGGAATAGAAGAGAAGAAAAATAAAACCTTATGTTTACTACTGTTTGACCCGGGATGTCCTTCTCAAGAAATGCAGAAACTCTTAAAACAAAGCACCGATGGTACTGGTCTCAAACTACTTCGGAGATTTGTGGGTGGCTTAAAAGAAAAGCAGTACCAGATAGTTGCTGTAGATGGCATCCTCACACTGGAAGAGAAAACAGTAAGTATTTCAGGAAATAGTTTTTGTAAGAAAACGTCCAAGAACCTGCATCTCCTCTTTCAGACTCAAGTGTGTGTGTGGTCACATGGTGATTTGTTTTCACCTATTCAGTTTCCTCATTCTTTGTTTCCTCTACTTTCTGCATGTTCTCCGTTAATTGAGTAATCATTAGGATATCCAGAACAGAACAATTTTGCATGTAAAGGGGTGCTACCTTGATATAACTGACAGCTCAGAAATCTCTTATGAAGCTTACACTTGTTTGCCTATGTAAATTAAGCATTTTTTTTGCATTTTTTGTAGTATTCTAAATAGCTTATCATAGGCATATAAGTTACATGCAGAGCATTCATAGTACAAAAGTACATTCAGGGTGTTTCTATTTCAACTTTATAAAGCTGTGTGACATCTATCAGTATTTGATAATTGAAGAAAAAGGCACATGGATACTGAAGCCTAACCACTCAATGTCTCTTCATCTTGGGTACTAGAACTAGCACGTTCTGCTTTCTAAGAGTAGTTAGAATGTAAAGTATTCAACATGCAGCTCTGATTACCTTAATATGTTCAAGCTGTCAACATTTGTTATAAATCCTGTCTAGATGATTCACATTGGGCATTGTAAGTTCTTTGGACCTTGAAATTCTTTCAGTTGAATGTCAGATGTAATCTTTTTCTTAAGTTTCCACTGCCCTACATTAAAATATTGATTTGCTGGATCTGTGTTCTGACTCCGTGGTGTCTTATGCACACTATTCAGCATCTCCAAACTTCAGGACAGACTTTATGTGTAAATTATGAAATAACTGTTGTCTGAGTCACCTGCTGAAGTGTCTTTAACAGCTGTATATTGAAATGAGACATTATCTAAGTGCTTCCTGTCTGTGAACATGTCAGAAATAGCAGCAAGACACACGCTCTCTCTTACCCTTACTGGCAAAAGCATTAGAATTCAGGTCACTGTAATTAAGGAAGTGTGTCTTGTAGGGTTGGGTGTTTCTTAATTCCAAAGGTTTGATTTAAATTTTAAAATTGTATTTGTTTTGAGTTTTATCTAGAAAAGTCACAGATGAAATATAACCTCTTATATGTTAGTAAGCTTTTCAAATTAATGGTTTAAAATGGTGTAATAGTTCATTAAACTGTTCTCTCTCCTTTCTCACTCCCCTACCTACACTTTTTTTTAGGCTCTCTGCCATGCTTCTCGGGTCTTAACATCAGAGAAGATTCCTTAAAGGATGCCTTTACTACCTCTTCCTAGGAATCTGTTGGATGTGAAATATTAAATGGGTGGACTGTGACCCTAACTTAACATTTTCTAGACTTAAATTATGCCCTGAACTAAGTTTCAGGGGCCCTGGAAAAGCACAACACTGGCGTTAACCTGTAGTTTTGATCTTCAGTCAAAACACTTCTGTCCAGATGAATCTGTAACTCTTCAGTTTTAGTTCTTACCTTAGTAGAAAACTGGGTATTTTCTTAGTTGCTTAAATTGCAAATTAATACCCACCTTCCTGTACCAAACTATTTAGCATAGTTCACTGTCAATAAGTAGTGGGTAAACATACCTTTTTTTAAAAAGCTACCTTTTTTTTGGAGTGCCTGTTGAAATTTACCTCTGTAAATATATTTATACCACCTCTATGGCTAATGCTCCATCTCTTACAAAATTTGATCAAATATCTATTACATCCTCTGCAATTTCTCCTGCAACTACTTGCAAAGTACAGAGACAGTTCGCTGACTTCACGTGGCATGGTTTGTTCCACGAGGGATTAATTTGCTACTGCACTTCTTTTTAATTAGCTGGCTTCTCTACATGCACCACCTGTAAACACAAACGTGCTTATGAGGTGGGTCAGTGTTAGTGTGGGGCATGAGACCGAAGACAGTGGTGTCCAAAGTGTGGGGTGTGTGTGGTCCAGGGGTGTGTGCAAGACAAACCGCAGGGGCGTGGAAAGAAAGTATTTTTTGTACTGTGAATAAATAAAATACTTTTTTTAAAAAACATTGTTTATTTTGTCCTTTTTTGGTTATAATTTCTATTTATGTTTTCTGATTTATAGCTCAAAGGGGGCTCTGAGACATGACTATTGGGCAGGAGCTCTGTTATACGGGCTTAGTGCCATTGAAGACAACGGAGCCATTTGCTGAAACAGGCGCCTTGGGCCTTAGAGGTGCTATAGTGTATCTAAGATGTTGTTCTGACTGTAAAAGTCATGTTTCTCCAGCCTGGTAGCTGGAGGCCAGGTTGGGGTGCAGGGGGTCTCATGTTGCAAATAGCTCTAGATGTTTTGTTAAGCTATTGAATCATCCCATGACATTCATTTAAGAAGTTTAGGTACTTCCCTCTCATTTGGATTGCTGCATGTTGATGCGTTGATGTAAGTGTTGGGAGTTTTACCATTAACCTGTTTGTCTCATAGCTAGTAGTCTCTAGTGAATGGATATGTAAGGATGTTGCAATCCATACCTTAATAACATCTCAAACATGCATGAAAGTAAAAACAAAAAACTTAATCATAGGAATGTATAACTTCTGGCAGGTATATGGAAGTGACCTATATATTGGAAAAGGGTGTCGTGGTTTAACCCAGCCGGCAGCTAACACCACGCAGCCGTTCGCTCACCCTCCCCCCTCCCTCTCTGGGACGGAGGAGAGAAATGGAAAGTGAAAACCCATGAGTTGAGATAAAGACAGTTTAGTAAGACAGGAAAATAATAATAACAATAATAATAATAATACAATGATGACAATAGTACTACCACTAATAATATGTACAAACAAGTGATGCACAATGCAATTGCTCACCACCTGCTGACCGATGCTCAGCCTAACCCCGAGCAGTCCGGCCCCCCTCCCCCGGCTAGCCACCCCTATATATTGTTTAGCATGACATCAGATGGTATGGAATACCCCTTTGGCTAGTTTGGGTCACCTGTCCCGGGTCTGTCCCCTCCCAGCTCTTACTGCACCCCCAGCCTGCTCGTTGGCAGGACAGAGCAAGAAACTGAGATGTCCTTGGCTTAGTATAAGCACTGCTCTGCAACAATTAAAGCATCGGGGTGTTATCAGCACTCTTCTCATCCTAAGCCAAAACACAGCATTCCACCAGCTACTAGGAAGAAAATTAATTCTGTTCTAACTGAAACCAGGACAAAGGGTTAAATATAAAGGACACTGCCTCGAGTAGCTGATGTTAGGGACAGATTTCCTGGGAAGCAGTGATCCATCCACTCCCCTATTAGCAGTGGTCTTAACAGCTAATACACACGTATGTTCTTAACACCACGTGAAGTTTTGCTGCCATACTGTCACTAAGACCCTCCCAGATATGCTTCAGTCTTTCTGCGCTGCTTCCTCACTCTCCCTTTGAAGCTGTTTATTCCTGGTTAAGAGTTCTAATTCCAGGCCAGACTGAGAATATTCTGCCCAGTGTGACTCGGTGCCCTTGTGTTTACATGCACTGTATATCCAAAAGCCAGTAAATTTAACTGCAGCTCTAATGGTTTTCAAGTCTGCCTTTCATCCATGGGTCACTGAACACTTAGGAAAAGAAAACTGCGACTAATACTGGGAGTTTGTGTTTTAAGTGCTCAGTGCAGCTTCGTTAATTGTCTTTCTGGCAATTACATGTGGGTTTCCCTCTCAACAGGAGGAGGACACCTTCTGTCCTGTCAGGCTTGGTTTTGCTTGCTACATGCCTGCAACAGCCACCTCCAGGAGGGCAGGGCTCACCCCACGGCACAGCTCCTTGGGGAGACAAATGCCATCACCCCAACGTCCCCCCTGTCTTCTCCTTTCCCCCAGCTGCTGTCACTGAGCCTGGTGCCACACGGTGTGGGACATCCCTTCGGGCAGCCTGGGCCAGCTGTCCTGGCCGTGTCCTCTCCCAGCTCCTGGAGCACCCCCAGCCTCCTCACTGGCTGGGCAGCACCAGGAGCAGGAGAGGCCCTTGGCTCTGTATGAGCACTGCTCTGCAGCGACTGAAACGTCCCTTTGGTGTCATTCCTATTTTCATCACAAAACAAAAAAAACAGCATTGTGTGAGCCTCTATGAAGAAAAGTAACTCTGTCCCAGCCAAAGCCAGGACATCTGGGATGTCATTTTTTTCTTTGCCCACCTTCTGGAGGAACGGAATAAAATAAACAATTCAGCAAAATCTGAGGGCTAACACAGTAAACCTGAATACTGTCAACAGCATGAGGGAGTAGAAATAATTCAGCTCCTGGTAAGCACTCACTCTATAAAGAAAAAATACTTTGCATCTGCTATTATCCTTCAGAGGTATCCGTACTTCTCCCAGGTTGTCACCATATCCTGCTTTCCTTTTGCTCGCTTCAAGGACAAGGCCAAACCTGGCCTCTCTAATCCTGGGGGAGGATGACAGGGCCTTTTCACCTTATAGAATCACAGAATCGCTCAAGTTGGAAGGGACCTTAAAGATCATCTAGCTCCAACCCCCTGCCATGTGCAGGGACACAGCTGTAATGCTTCCCATTAAAACTATCTGATGATCTTTGATGCTGTTCAGTCTGGAAGCCACGATTCCCCTGGTGGCAGAACTCACAGTAGGAGATACGTTGTTATTACGTACCTTACAGCTTTGATGATGACTTCAGTATTCTGGAAGGGGCAGTTCCCTGCTTGATACAATTTTCCAAGTCTTGGAACATTTTCTTAATTTTCTAGTGATGTATTTTCTATTAATTCTAGCAAGAAAACGTGAATTTTTGCTTGCCTTCCAGTCCCATCCAAAAATCTTGTTGCTCTCATTGTGTGAATTACAGCTCTAATCTTTGATGCCATAAAGCCACTACATTCTGGTCTGTTAAAATTTTTAGTATTCTTATGGTGTTTCAGAAGTTCAAGGTGCAGTTTAACTAATTTTAACTGCCAACAAGATGCTTAGCATTTCTGCAAGTTTTTTTTAAGTATCTCATATTGGCACTGAAAATAAAGGCCTTCTAGTTAACAAACAGCTCAAGCATTTGGTCCAGCATTATTTAGGGTCATTGTGCCCAGGAGAGAAACACGTTCTTCTTTAGAACAGAACCTATTTTACCTTTCTGAGCTCCTTTCTGTCCTTGCACTCGAGCGCTCTGCCTTATTCCCTGCACACCTTTCATCAAGTACAATGAGCAGTCAGAGAATCTGCAGACCCAGCCCTGATTATTTCCTTCTTTATGATCTCCCTGTACCCTGCAGGAGGCAGTGGTCTCACAGGGGAACTGGCGAGCAGTTGTGCTGTCAGGCTGTCTGTACAAAGGGCTGAATAACTTTAAAACCAGAGTTTCATGACTTACAAAGCTTTGACACTTTTAATGTTACTTACCTTTTAATGTACATTTCAGATAACCCCACTGCATATTCTGTCATGAGAAAACACTACTGTGAATCGCATTAAGGATTAGTAATGGCTCATTAATTCATAATTATATAATGATTAATTTAATTTGTAAGGCCAAATGACACACCTCTATTTTTGTGAATGGTATAACTGAGAAACATCTCTATTATTATCCCTTCAGCTAAAAAAAGATGTGTACTTGAGTACATTTCACCTTGTGTACTGACAGAACTGTGGCTATCTGCCTGCTGGGCTCCATATCTTGCCTTGGATGTAGAAAATAGCAAAATAATGGTGCCTCCATGCCACCACCCCTCCTACCCAGTCTCTCTGCAGCGGGTGATGGAGGTTCTACAGGGTGCAGTGCTCTGATCTCTTCTGCTCAGCATAATAGAAAACAAATTAACTGCAGCAGGGCCAGATGGGACTGAGTGATTGGGGGGCAAGGGGGGTGTAATAAATTAGGACCAGAAATTCAATATAGATAAATGTAAAGGTCTGAGGACACTAATGACACTCCAAACTGTGTGCCTGTCAGTGTGGATGAGGTAGCTCAAAACCACCTGGATGCTGACTATGCTTTAGAGTTACACTTGCTGGTAGTTTGCATGGCCTAGGCTTTTACACACACACACAAGAAAGTGGCAGCTAAGGGCTGAGTTTCTGCAAAGGTGGCAGACCTTTGAGGAAACTGTAAAGTAAGGGCCAAATATGCAGCGGGTCTGACATGAGGTCCTGATGGCCACACTGGCACGGCACTGCTGACCTCAGGTCTCACCCATGCCACTGCTTTCAGGATGGGGAAAGGAATCGCACCCCCAAATAGACATCAGTGCTCAGGTGATAACAACTCATATGTTGAGTTTGGCTGGCTGCTGATCTCAAAGTGTTCCCACATGGGCTCTGACTTTCTGTTCCAAAAAGCTCTGTGGTCATCATTTCTCAGCAAGAACCAGGACATGTGAGTTACAGTTACTGTGTCTCTGGGCACCAGGGCTGTGCCTTGTGCATACCCTGGGCACTTAAGTCATTAATTTCCTGCGTGGTCTGCCAACTGACAGGAGATAAAGGACTGAGTTGAAGTAAGGGACCACATTCAGAAAAGGTGCTAGCTGAACCCCCAGGCACCTGCACAACAAAGCCTGCGCACTAACCAGTGCAGGAGTTCTCCAGGTGGGAAACCTGGACTTCCTGAAGCTTCCCCTGGGCAGTTCTTGCTGCCTACTATTCACCAACTATGCCAAGATAAGGTGCTTTTGAAACCGTTTCTGCAGAAATGATTGCTTAGGACA